CATGGTCACGCTTGTACCAATGGTCATCTTAGTTATGGTTGACCATTGGTCAAGCTCTTCATGGTCACACTCGCAACAATCTATGGTCACGCTTGTACCAACCATCTTATTTATGGTTGACCATTGGTCAAGCTCTTCATGGTCACTCTCGCACCAATGGTCATCTTATTTTATCTCAGTAATTCCTTCATGTCAATACATATGCCAAGCAACCAAACACACGGAGATGGTTAAAGGATGGAGCACGTCCATAAAGCTTTTCAAAAGGAGTTTTTCCGTTGAGAAGCTGCGATGGTGTCCGATTCATAATATACACAGCAGTCTTAACGCATTCTCCCCAATACTCGATGGGAAGATGAGCTTGAAATCTTAAAGCTCGGGCAACATTAAGTATATTCCTATGCTTTCGCTCCACTCTCCCATTTTGTTGAGGTGTATAGACACATGAAGTTTCATGATGTATTCCATTCTCTTGCAAGAAGCGCGAGAGACAGATAAACTCAGTGCCATTATCACTTCGTATCGTCTTGACTTTCTTGGAAAATCGCGTATGAACCAGTGCCAAGAAGTCTTTGATGTATCGGGAGACCATTGTTTTATCGGGTAAAAGATAAACCCACACTGCTCGTGAATGATCATCAACAATAGTAAAAAAATATCGTGTACCACACAAGGCCGTAGTACGATACGGACCCCATAGATCACAATGAATCAAATCAAAAATTGATTTTGCATTAGATAAGCTATCCGGAAAACAATTTCGAGTTTGTTTAGCACGAAGGCAAACATCACAATCCTTAAGTAAATCAGAAGCACAACTAACACCAGGAATTAAACCAACAACTCTAGAAGATGGATGACCCAAACGGTGATGCCATAACACTGAATCCGCACGAACACTTGTCTGCAGCGATGTCACTGTTTCAGCTTCACAGAATCGGAAAGCCCCTCTCTCTCTCGTTCACCCAGTCCAATCAGCGTCCTCGTAGTGCGGTCCTGTAACACCAACAATTTATCAGTAATCTGAACCACCAAATAGTTATCCGTAACTAACTGGCCAAAAGAGATCAAATTTGTATCAAATCCATCAACAAGAAAAACATCGCGACGCTCAAGCCGTGGGCTCAAACGCACTGTCCCTTGTTTAGAAGCCAGTGCATTCAAGCCAGTAGGCAACTTCACAGACACCGGTAGAATAGATCGAACATCCTCCAACCAATCAGACATGCCCGTCATGTGGTGCGTTGCACCAGTGTCTAGTATCCAATCACAAAAATTATTCTTACCACTCAACGCCTCTGTCTGAGTTGTACTCCCCACCATACGCTGGATAATTTTCCATTGCTCATCAGATATCCCACTCAGTCCCTGTCGATCATTATCTGACAACGCCACCTTCGATGGACGAGCAGCAGAATTCGCTCCAATGATCTGTGTGCTGTTTGCTCTAGGAGTCACACCACGACCCCTACCAGTCATCCCGCGTCCTTTTCCATACCATTCCGGGTAGCCCACAATCTTCCAACAAGTGCTCGCCTCATGTCCTGTACGATTACAAACAGAATCGCAGGTTTCCTTGTCGATTAGGAGCCGTGTTCGCCATTTGAGAAGCAAAACTCATGACTGGAGTTTCATTCTGAACTGTGGTTGAGCGAATGGTTTCATTCTGGACCACTGTCTGATACACATTGTCCAGATCCGGAAGAGGTGTAATAGCACATATTTGAGAACGTATCACACCATGTGTGGACTCATCAAGTCCAGCAAGAAAATCGTGGACACACAAGACTTCCCTTTCAGCTTCGTGTGCAGTATTGAGATCACACTCGCACTTTCCACAAGTACACTTCTTCGAATTCATACACTCTCTTATGCCATCCCAAATCTTCGTTAGACGACCAAAGTAGTCATCCACCGAGGTTCCGTTTTGTTTACATGTCGCCAGAGAGTTTCGAAGCTGTTGAAGACGAGCCCCACTCTTCACAGAGAACCTTTTCTTGATGATATCCCACATCTCTTTAGCTACTTCACGAGTAGATATAGACGATCAAAGCTTGGGTTCAATAGTCTGTTTGATCCAAACCACCAATAGGTGATTGATCGCCACCCAGTCTTCGAGTTTTGGGGAGTCCTCAGCAGGCTTCGGGATGCTCCCATCAATGAATCCGTATTTCTTTCTTGAGCTAAGCGCCATACGCAGATTTATGGCCCATTCATCATAGTTCGTACCACTAAGTAGTAGGGATGAGATGACGGCACCTGGATTGTCTCCAGAACTTAGATCGTATGGTGAGATAGTTCTTCGTTTAGGTTCTGCGGTTGAATCAATGATAGACATCGTGCACAGATTTTCCTTAGCAAAGATGATAGAAGAGAAGAAGCGGCTCTGTTTCGTGTATGAAAGAAAAGAGGCAGCTTCGTATAGATTTTGTAATCAAAAGAACTGGATCACAGCTCTGATACCATGACAAAGTTTGTATTGCTGAATATTATGTTATCTCATTAAGTTCATACATCACACGACTATATACAAACGATAGCCGGCCCTTTAACCTAATTAGATACCGTATCCCATAAAATAGGAAAGTATCTATATTGAATCATATATGTCAAACTTGAGAATATGTATACCTCCTAATAAAATCTAGCCTTAAAAACCAAAAATGCTATTAAAGATATTGACAATCTGAAGGCTGGAAAGTTTGATAATCTAATTAGGACCAGAATCACGTGCTTGTATTGCTTGTACCCAAGGCCGCTACTGGTGTTTCTATATAGTACCTGCAAAATAGTAGAGTGGTTTGAATTCTGTAAAAGATATATGATGATTACTATACGCCAATATATATACCCACTTGAAAGAAACTATACACAATCAAACTCGTTGTTATAGAAGCACATGATAAATATACTCAAATTTACCCTAAAAGCAACTATACAATTTCATATGTCAGTTACAATACCTAGGGATCGAATCCACGTGGACTATCGATTTTAGAATTTGATGAATCTTTACGTTATTAACTTATGATCTAACACAGTTTCCAAATTCCATATCACCAAGAGGATTAGATTTTCAATCAATAAGAAACTCGAGACAACAAGAGCATTCTCCCAACAATGACAAAGTCACCATCTAGCCTGCAGCTGTATCCATGAACCCACCATGAAAAAAGTTTGAAACGGATGAAATTACTACTGGGTGAGCACTATCTAATGGGCGATAAATCGAAAGTCCAATACAAACAAAATCACAAACTCAAGTCTTAATGCTTCTTTATGAATCTATACAAAATTAGACTTGAAATCAAACTCAAAACGAAAGTAAAAACTAAAAAAAAAAAAAACATTGTATAACCCTTAAAGATCTTTACTCTGGGTGCATCAGAATCCATTGCTCTTATGATCAGAGAGAATATCACGGCCGTCTTCGGACACTTGCTCAGAACAAGATTTATTGCTCATTATGCCTTTGCTGTTGGTTTGGTCTGTCAAGACCTGGACACCGCATTCAACAACTTCGACTTCATGGGATGAGGTACTGAATCTGAACAACATCTCCTCGTGATTTTCAACAAACTCAGCGTGAAATATAAAAATATGTTCCCCTCGGATTTTAGGGAGATCTAACCAAAGCATGTCTTCATCAGTGGGACAACCTTTTGCACGTATGGGAAACAGTAATGTGAAATAAGCTTCTTCCATATCCGGTTTAGGGGAAAGCACCAGGCAAATCCTAAACTTGCAGATAGACGGACGGATGGTCAAGGAACTTCCAAATGCTCGACGATCATCAAACTCAGCAGGCATCTCTTTTCCTGGAAAGTATGCTCTAAATGATTTCTGTGTAATTACTCTCTTTGGTTCTGAGCACAAAATTAGATTAAATTTTGGAAAAACACTGAGGGCACCTACCCCCATTCTGTGAACAGTAGATCGGTCCCTGCTCATATCTCGCATCAGAGAGGCTTTCATCATCATCATCTTTACACACTTTTTCTGATCTAGATTCACAGATGCCACAACTGCTTCTTTTCCTGCTATTTTGGTTCGACAAAATCTGGACACCACATCCAGTAACATAGACATTCTGGGATGAGGTGCTGAAATTGAACAATATCTCGTTGTCTTGTTCAAGCCATCCGTCCTCGTCAAGCAGTTCATACGGAAGTATAAATAGATGTTCTCCTCGGATATAGGGGAGCTTCGTAACACTGTTTTCCGTGATGGGGTAACCGTTTAAGCTCATGCTACACAATAAATCAACATTACCTACTTTGGTATGCGGTTTAGGGGTAACCACAAGGCAAACTCTAAACCTGCCTAAAGATGAAGTGATGGTCAAGGAGTTTCCTCGAGCTCGGTGATCAAACTCTGCAGGTATTTCACATCCTGGTAAACATGCTATCTCGAGAAATGGTTGCTGTGTAATTACTCTCAGTGCTTCTCCACTTAATTTAAAGCAGTTGGGGAAATAGAGTTCCTCAATTTGAGAGTCATTAGGAAAAGATGTTAGTGTCTCCAGTGATTCACAATCTTCAACCTTCAATGTTCTGAGCGAGGGAGGGAGCTCTGAAAGTGATGCAAGTTTTGGACAGCCACCTACACAAAGCCATATTAACCCTTGAAGATCTTTGATACAATCTGGAAATATCTCTCTGTCTGCCCCATTTTTCCTCTGGATATGGTTGTGCCAGTTCTGACGAAAGTGGATATGGATTGACACTGCCATTTATGTTGAGACACCGAAGGCGAGACCAAGCGCTAATTGATCCAGGCAACTCTTCTTCTAACATTGTGTCTGCGATTGTTAGCCTTGTGATGTTCCTGGACATATGTGGAATTTTTCTAAGTTTCCTGCACCCCAACATCCTAACCCTTTGAAGAGATGCCAAGTAGAAAAGATTCGGAACAACCTGCAGATTTATACACAAATCCATCTCCAAAAACTCTAGTTTATGAAGATTTCCTATAGCTGAAGGTATCTCTACCAAACTCTCGCAACCAGTCAGGTCCAATCTCTCGAGATTTGTAGCATTTGAAAGATCTGGGAGTTCCTTCAGATTCTTGGACCATAACAAAACCACTTTCTTCAGATTTGTAAGGAGCTGAGTGTAAAACCAACAAAACAAAGAAAGAACATCGACATACTTATTGGTTAATGTATTTCAGTTATTGATAATCTAAACAAAGATCGCATCTGTTTAGCTGATTTCGAAAAGTTGAAGTCCGGTTTTATTATTTTATAGTAATTCTTATTGGAATTTTTTTTTTTTTTTTTTGTCATCAAGATACACAAATTCTATAGACTCTGCAAACTATCTGTCTTAGTATTCAACTAATGATTTTATATTGAATTAGGTGTTTAGCCCGCATTTGCGGGCCATAATTTTTTTTATGAATATTTATTAATTGATATTTTATTAATTTAAAAATCATCATAATAAGTTATTATTTATGTTTTCAAAAAGTACAAATTAAACATCAAATAATTATCAATGACAAAACTCAAACATCATAAATATTTAAAAGAACATAGTTCTATAATTATTTTGCTTGAATTATATTTAATTATAATATTTATATAAATATTTTACTTAATTTATATTTAATTATAATTTTTATATCTTAATTTTAAAGTTTATAATAGGAAAACATATTTTCAAGATAACTAACTTTATAGAAATATTTTCTAAGAGAATAATTAGTGTAAATTTATTTCAGTTATAGAATAACTACAACTTTTATTTCTTAGTTTTAAATTTATAATAAAAATATATATTTTCAAGACAACAACTTAATACATAAGAAGTATCTTATTTTCTAAGAATCTGATGCTATTAATATAAATTTGTTTTAAATATATAATAAATTATAGAAATTATGATAAATTATCAAAGTTACCTAAAATCATGGAAAATATGAGAAAATAGCAAACATCAAATTCACTTCTTAAATAATAGTATATACTTTTTACATGTTAATTTTAAAATTTATAATAGAAAAATATATTTTTAAGATAACAGCATAATACATAAGAATTAACTTATTTTCTAAAATATCATATTGTTAATACAAATTAGTTTTAATTATGGAATCAATAATAAATAAAATTAGAGAAATTCTGATAAATGATCAAAATTACCTAGGATCATGGAGACAAATCAACAAATTCACTTTTCAAATAATTGTTTTGATGATTTATATTTAATTATTAATAGTATAATTTTTATATCTTAATTTCAAGATTTATAATAGGAAATATATATTTTCAACATAACAACATAATACATAACAATTATATTATTTTTTAAAATATAAAATTATTAATAAAAATTCGTTTTAATTATATAATAAATAAATAACTTTTATATTTTAATTTAAAATTTGAGTTTAATATATAAAAGTATTTCAAGTTAACAATATAATTCACAAGATTTATCTTATTTTCTAAAAATATGATATATTCATATAAATTCGTTTTATTTATAAATAAATTATATATAAATATTAAAAGTATGATAAATAAAAAAAATTACCTAAATTTATGGAGATCATGACAACTAAGCAAATTTACTTCTTAAATAATAGTATAGATTTAAAAGATTTATGCATGTTTCCAAGTTACCGCAGCCGACTTTGTATCTGTATAGTGTTCTTCCAATAACAAAAAGTACATGTTTTCCAAATCAAATCCAAATCCAAAAACAATATTTGTTATCTAAAAACCACATGTTTGATTTTAAAATATATTAAAAAAAATAGATTCAGCATATATTTTATATATCAATTTCTTTTTTTAACACTTGATTAAAGTTTGATACAAGCATATGAACCTTTAGAACAAGGTTAAAGGGAGAGACAAAAGGTCTAGGTGAGGAGAAGACATTACAGAAAATACTTCTTTAATCATAGGGAGTAACTGGATGCAATGTAAGACTGGAAACGGTTTTCATTGGTTGCACTTTTAGCAATTAGAAAGCTTGGAGTAAGAGCCTTTGGGTGTAGGCATTCAACTTTCTTAGCTTTGAAGAGAAGAATTTGAGAGAAGGCCATGTCCTCGGCTTCTTGATTGCAGCCACTAGTTCAGAATTTATACTTGAGAAGATAATGTTATCAAAATGGAGGGATTTCATACTCTCTGTTGCCCACAACCATGCTTCAAGGGATGAGTCAAACTTAATTTTAATGTTTGTGAAGGATCTCCTTCCATGTAGTAACACTTTTCCTTCTGAGTTCCTGAGTATCCAAGCAGCACCGGCCTCTTCATTGTTTTCATCCCAGGAGCTATTTATATCACACTTCAACCATGAAAGAGGAGGTGGTTTCCAGCCAAAGATGATCATTTTCTTCCTCTCAAGGTCAATCGCTTTTTGCTGGGAATTCAACTCTTTGACTAGGAACCAATGATCAACTTCTTCGAGGATTGATCTTGCAAATTTTTGACCTAAAGAATTTTTACCATTAAATAGTAGGTTGTTCCTATTCTTCCATATAGAACACATGATCCAAGGGCCACATCTCCTGATATGTAATGGAAAATTTTGATCATTCCCCATTTTGAGCACGTAGAAGACGTTAGAGAAGATGGAGGAATGATCAAATCCATTTGGAGGGAAGGGAAAGTTGCATTGAGCACATGTTTGTCGTCTAGCAATAGTACAGGTAAAGAGGACATGGTTTATTGATTCGCCGTCCAGACCACAGATTTGACATCGGTTATCTATCTTCATTCCTCTTGCATTTAGGTTATCAGCAACTGAAAGTGCTCCACGTATTGCTTTCCAAAGGAATATCCTGATTTTTGGCTCTGTTTTTGAAGACCAAATTCTTTTTTTTTTAATGTCATTTGTGGAAGGGAGGAGCTGAGCTGATAGGAAGGCTTCCTTGTTTACAATTCGCTCAGCAAACCAATAACCTAACTTGACTGTGAACTCACCTGACCTAGTATGGTTCCAACAGACAAAGTTCCGAGAGGACACAACCGGTTTTATCTTCAGGATTAGCTCTATATCCTGTTTGAAAAAGATTTGATGGAGCTTCCTTAGGCCCCAAGTAAGAGAAGTGTGATTGATGAGATCCGAGACTTTGAGATCGAGATCCATTGGGAATTGTTTAATCAGAGGAATATGCATTCTATCTCCATCAATTAGCCAAGGTGTTGACCAAACAGAAGTTGACAGTCCGTTCCCAATCATAGGTCTTAAACCTTTGACCAGAAGTTCCCTACCATGAATTATGCTCCGCCAAGCATAGGAGGGTCTATTTCCGAGAGTAGCTTCTAAAAAGGTTCCGTGTGGAAAATACCTACTTTTCAAAAATCTACAAAGAAAGGAGTTTTCATTCGAGAGAATTCTCCATGCTTGTTTATCAAGAAGAGCTTGGTTAAAAATTTCTATGTCTTTGAACCCCAAACCGCCCAGGTCTTTGTGGACACATAGTTTATACCAGCTAATCCAATGACCCTTGCTTTTGTCTTCGGTTGCCAACCACCAGAAAGATGCCATTGCAGAGGAGAGGTTATTGCAAGTGGTTTTGGGGAGCTTGAAACAGGTCATGGCATGGATAGGCATGGCCATTGCAATGGACTTGATAAAAATCTCTTTTCCAGCTTGAGACATAAATTTTGTGTACTAGTTTGACATTCTCCCTTTCATTTTATCTTTGATGTACGACAAAATTTCTATTTTAGAGCCACTAAAACACTCCGGTAGACTGAGGTATGTTCCAGCGCCACCTTCAGAGGTAATACCTAATATTTCTTATATCTGAAGTCTCTTCTCAACAGTCACATTTTTACCAAAAGTAAGAGAGGATTTGGAGAGATTGATGACTTGGCCTGTTGCTTCACTATACCTATCCAATATCTCTTGAAAGACATGGCATTGAGGTATATCTGTTTGGAAGAGAAACAAACTATCGTCTGCAAAAAACAGGTGATGAAGTTGTGGACCAAAAGCATCAAACTGGATCCCCTTCAAAGAGTTTGTAGTAATTGCCTGATTGAGCATATGAGTGAGACCTTCAGTACAGAGGACAAAAAGGAAGGGGGATAAGGGATCTCCTTGACGTAGACCTCTTTCCGGTAAAATGAAACCATAAGATTGGCCATTGAGAAGAACAGAGCAGGACATAATCCAATTAACCAAAATGCTATCAAAGCCTAATGATAAGAGCAGCGTATGAAGATAATTCCATTCTACTCTGTCAAAAGCCTTTGTCATATCAGTCTTTACGGCCATGAAAGACTTGGAGATAGCTTCATGCAATCTCAGGCTATGCACTGCTTCATGAGCCAAGATTATGTTATCCAAAATGAGTCGGTCAGAGACAAAGGCTGATTGTGTTGGAGACACTATTTTAGGAAGAAAAGGTTGGACTCTCGATGCTATAATCTTTGAGATCGTTTTGTACATAACCGTACAGAGGCTTATGGGTCTAAGGTCAGACATAGTAACGGCGCTAGGTTTCTTTGGGATGAGGCAGATTTGTGTGTAGTTCCATTCTTTGGGCATGACTCCGGTTTCGAAGAATTGCAAAACCTCTTTGGTAAGCTGATCACCAACCACCTCCCAATAGTTTTGGAAGAAAAAGGCAGACATACTGTGAGGGATAAAACTCACTCTCTAGTTTAGGTTAGGTTTAGATTGGGAAAACACAATTGTGGGCTGAATCCTGTTTAGAACTTAAAGAACGAATATGTTTGTTTATATTGATCTCGATAATGAAAAG